GTCAGCCACGGTCTGTAAATACTCCCGATGGGGAAATTTCAAAACAATCACAGAAACAGAGACTGTTGGAGCAAACTTACCCTCGTGGAAGAATCTTCACCAACAGAGTCCGTTCCTCAGGCCGATTTTGCAGTACGACTGCACCATTAATCTCCTTGTCTGCCTGGAATTGCACGAGATCTCCTGCTACCAGCCGCTGGGCAGTTGCATTAACCTTACGGTCATAGTCGGCTGCATCGTTAGTCATCCAAGTTGGCCTCTTTTGGCGATGGTATTTGCACTTAAGGTCGACACTTGGAACCGAGTACTGATTGCCGTCATCGGCGATCACAGCGATGGAGCCGTGTTCGACTTGGACGCCGGCCAGTAGAGCACATGTGGCATGGTAGGATCGTGTACACTTTCCGAAGTTGCATTGGAAGCAGGCACCGCGGACCTCGCGGCAGAAGAGACATTTGAGGCCCATTCGAGCCTTGGGAATGTAATCAATATCACATACCACTTCCTTTCCGGACTCGTCGCGAAGGATACTGGTCTCTTCGGTGTACAGGGCACATCGTCGGTGGGCATGAGACTTCCCGTCTTCGGTCGGAAGAAGGTCTTCATAATCCAAGTCGTTCGGACATAGCATGCAGGGCGCCTTTCGAGGGATCTCGACGTTGACTCTCATACGCTTCGCTTTGGTCGTTTCACCAGGATGCTTGCGTTTCCGACCGCGGGTTGACGTCTTTTCAGGTACACTGCGGGGCGGTGTCAAGAGATCCGAAGCACCTTCCATCACGTCCATGTCGCTGTCGAAGTCATCATAGTATTCGGGTGTTGCCTCTCCGCGCAGCTTCCGCTCGATTTCGTCGACATCAATCCAGACACTGTCCGCTTCACAGTTGCATTTCTTGGCCACGCGACCGTAGTCGAGCCATTTCTCTGTCGCGAAATTGACAGACTCGGCACAGTTGTAACCCAGATTGAAGCCAGAGTGGTAGCCGTACGGATAGGTGATGACGAATTCGCCCTCATAATGAACCAATTTGTTCACAGTGATACCGTACTGAGACTTCAAGAGACTCGGCGAGACAAGATAGGTCTTGTGGCGAAGAAACTGGTCGCAGGATTTTGCATCGCTGGGCCAGATGCCTTGAGGAGAACGTGTCAGTATCGCCACAGCGTAAAATGAGGCTTGAGCGGTGCCAACTTACTCTTCATAACCTGTTCAAAGCGAGGAGCGTCCTCTTGCGAGATACTGTACCATTGTTTCGGAGCACCAAAGTGAATGTAGTTGATGCTGTAGAGATCCACGTCCTCCAGATGCCATGCGAAAGTAGCCTTCCACATTCCCAGATAAAGGTAGGCAGTGTTGACGCCAGGGACCTTTTGTCCAATGACATCCAGCAAGTTGGGTAACTTGGCGACATTCCACGATGTAGTGCTGTCGTCGAACAGCGAACCGGGCATATCGGCTCCGTATAACGGGTTGTTGAACATGAGCGATTTCCAATAGGCAGTCTCCAGCTCTTCACAACGTTCTTGCGTGTATTCTTCCTGATCGTGGATGCGGTAGTCGAAGTTTTTGAATGCTTCTTCATCGACGGAATCGATGTTGTCGCCCTTGTTGTGCTTTCTTCGCGCAGTTACAGACTTGGGCTGTCTACCCTTGGGCTTAGGTTCGGGTAACGACTCGCCATCGCTCAATTCCTCCGACTTCGTCTCGACAGGGTTAGATTCGGGTGATACGGGTGTTGGAGGACCTTCCGGTTTCGTTTTCTCAAGGGCGTCGTCCGCAGGCGGCTCTTCCTTCACTTTCACCTGGTTGGCCCGCTTTGGTGGCCGACCGGGCCCACGCTTCTGCGAACTTGACCCGGTGGTCTGAGGTTTCGGAGCTGCAGGGGTACGTGTGGCTCGTTCCTGATTCCGACGTCTCTCGCCTCGCCGTGCAGGGGGCTGATGACTGCTCTCCTCGCACAAGGCTTTCCACTGAGGAAGATTGTATGTCCGTTGTCGTTCGATATTCGCCTGAGTATAAGTGCCGTGAGAGCCGTGGAATTCCTGCATGATAGGATTCTTCACACGGATTTTCTTGATGGCTTCGTCCAAGGGCGGTTGAGCATCAAGCCTAGATTGAGAAACGATCAAAATCAATTCTAGGACAACAAAGGAAGGGTTCAGGATTCCTACCATTCCTTGGGAGGGATAACTTTGACTATACCCGACCGCATGCCGTAATGGTCAACTTTACTGATGAACGACTGGAAATCACGAAACTGTTCCATCGTCTGCCGGTTGTCTCGTCAGCCCGTGATTTGCAGGGAGTGTATTCCATGAGATCGCAAGACTTACCGGCTTGAAGACAGGGATCTTGCCGCCGCCATAGTAATGGTCAGGCTCAATCACTTCTTCTTCTCCTTCAACCGAGTCCTCAATTTTGACTGCAGAGGCACTAGGATCTAACTCGAGGTCCGAGAGCTCGGAGGGAACACCATCTGGGACCTCCTTCTTGCCGTTCGCGCTGTGCGGAGGTGTTATGGAAGCGGCATCGTTCGGACGACTACCGGCGAGGGAGGCGAAAGGAGGTTGATCAAGCGCTGCCGCCATCATCTCAATCAAGATTTGAAAACTAGGACGGGGTTTCGATGAAGATAAGAGTGCCGTCGTCGGAATCTGCGACCGCTGATCGACGGCGAGAACGGGATTCCCAGCGGTCGGGGAAGGGAGTGTTAAAGGTTGGCGAGGTGAGAATCAATCTATACTGGGGGGTAGGAGGATCGTCAACGTTGCGATCGTAGAGTTTCGTCCTTCCGATATCTTTTCGATATGTCGCTTAGAGAGAAGGGGAAATTCCGTCGGCAAAGGGGTGGTTGGGAAAAAGTGAAAGCAGCTGGTGTTGAGCTTTGGTTCCTGAACAAAAGGGTATATCTATCTTAATGACAAGAAAGCCATGGGAACAAGGGGAAGAAAATAGGCAGGCAGTGCTGGATGAAGCGATAGAGAATTAGCAAGTCAATAATGATGAGATTGATATCACCAGTATTAGGAAAGGCCAAAAGCAAGCAAAGCAAAGGCCCCTCTCAGTCTCCGGTCTGCGAGATTGGAGCGAGGAGATTTGCCGTGTTGCAGGACCAAGCAGCAAGTGATACGACCAACGATTGCAGCTAAAGGACTAGCGGAAAGACGATGTGGGAAGCTAAGGGCAGGGAAGACAGAAAGGGCAGAGAACCAGAGATAAAATGGGCCAATGCCAGCGTCACGTCGAAACAGGTCGATAGTGGAACCACCGGACAGAGCACGATGGCCTGACGCTTGGAGAACCAAAAGACTTGAAGTGGAATTTGCAGGATTGGGAAACACCAGTGAGATTAAGAGAAGGATGGAAGGGATGCGTGCGGGTGGAGAGCTGTGGGTTCTAGTGATTCGACGAGTATGTAAGATGATGATAGCCTGAGCGCCTGAAAATCAACCCGAAGGAGTCTAAGGCACCCAACTTGGCAGGGAAAGTGGCTGAGGGCCTGAAAAATATGGTGACAAAATGACAAGGATGAATACTGGCCTGTAAGGTAACTTTGGCGGCTGCGAGTAGATCATAGCACGTCTCCGGCGTCGGAGCCTTGGGGCATCAAAGTAAAATCAATTGACTTACCAGGCCGATATCTTCAACAACAAGAATAAAACTTGGAAGAAGGCCTGGTTCTCTAGCGACAACCAGTACTACTGTACCTGTGAGGCCAATACGGGGTGCCACCAAGCTAGATCATACAACAATCGAGGCATAGCTTGTGCTCAAGGCTCAACGAAAGGGCAGTTACTGGAATCACGTGATGACACTGCCAACAATAGCAAGCCTCAGGATAAGATCTACACGCACAGAGCAGCAGCAATATGAGAGGTACAAGGCTGCGTAGTAGTTCGGGTACCAGCGGACCGGCAAAAAGCACTGATCTCATCAGTCCTCAGCACCGAGTCTGATTCGACAAATAGGGAATTAGCCGGTGGTAAAAGCGGCAAGCTTCTTTTTGGGCTGGCATTATCATCCTGTATCTCCGTATCTATCCACTAACTCAGTTGGAGCTCAGCTCGTATGAGAATAATATCAATGTCAATAATCGCATGGTCATGAAACAGCTATGGCTGTAGCAGAATCATATGTTGCTTATTAATCTCTGCTAAATGAGCCCTTCTAGCTGCTATCCAAATCACATGGTCAAACACTATTCAGTCTCAATTGGTAGAGGGAACAACCGTTTGCAATCCCTTATCAAGCCAAAGGTCATAGGATCTCTGTCTGCAGCATTTGCCAGTGTATCCTCACTTCTAATAGCTGGTATTTAGTTCCCAAGTAGCAGGGTCGAAAGTCTCAGACAACAAAGTAACGGCGACAGCTACAAGCAGACATCATAACAGCAGTAGCTCAATTGTCCTCCCACCTACGCATACTACTATTGCCTTTGGTTAATCCCTCGTCCCAGAAAAAGCTAGAACTCGGTAGTGATACACCTCTGCACTCCGAGACCTTGTTCAAAGCGTTGCAAATCTGTGTATAAGAAATTCTATGAGCGGCACTAGGCCATCATGGGACAACGGTCTGCTGGAGAAATCGCGAGAACCCCTTAAAATCTGCACCTAACCTTGCTTGCAGAGAGAAGAGCTTTAAGGCTCTGCGCGGCCCGTGCATGATGTTCTTTCTCGCGTGTAAGTGCCGTGGTATGCAGGTCGGAGGTTTACTATAAGGCTTGAATCACATGACTTCGAAGCATCCCCCAGTGCTGATATATCGCCAGGCCAGATCCAACTGTCCGACGTTGGCTGGGCAACTTTGATGTCTTCTTGAACAAGGATATTCTGCGTTGAGTATTGAATAGAAGACAATCAGCTGAGGAAGATCTCAATGTCATTGGTATATAGCTGTACACAAATCATGGCATCATGCACAGTGAAAGCGAACGAACGCCATATATGCGCCAAAACCATATGCAAAAGAGGGTCATATCTAAAAAGTCACCAGAGTTCCATCAGTTCTCATTTAACCGCAGCTTCTTTCCGATGAACCGACGTTTCGCAGGCTTATCGGCTCGCTCTCGGTCGACACTCAACCCTTTAAGAGCGTGAAGCAGCATGCCCGAGTCAAAGAAGCCATCTATCGATCATTGTCAGCGACTATCTTCAAAAGGAACACCTTCTCGAGAGACTTACATCCACCCATGCCATCATCCTCCATATCGCCACTGTCCGTAGTTGGCGTCTCCGTGCCCCGTTGCATCGAACCGGAGTCGCGGCGGACTAGCCGGCCCCGGCGATTATCGTTTTGAAACCGCTCGGCAAGCATCTCCATCTCGCGTGCCCTGCTTGTGCGGGGGCTGGTCGCCTTACGGTTGGTGGCGCGCAGCAGCTTCCGAATCTCGTACAAATACGACTCTAGTGTTTGCATCAATCGGGCAGTCTGCCGGTGCTTGGACGAGGCACAGATCGAGATACAATCGTCTTTGATGATGTAACCGATACCAAATCCATCTGCAGATGTCGGTCCAAAACCGAAGTGCCTCAGACTCGGGTTGCCGCAGTTGGACGTTGACAGGATCGTGTTGTTGATTTTGTCCCAGCCGGGATCACTGAAGATGGCCGGAGTGGGCGGCACTGTGCGAATACCGCGGTAGCTATAGCCATTCGAGGACAGGCCATCCTCGGACATGGAGGACGACGTTTTGGGAGAATCGATGGCCGATCCGTTCTCAACAGGGCTCGAGTATCCGTTGGATCCACCTTCAACGCTATTGCCCGCTGACGGACTGTCCTCGTCGAACGATCTTTGCCAAACAGAGTACAAGGCATACAAATGGCGATCCTGACCCTGCCCCTTGGAGCATTCCTTGGTGATGGCGGTGTGCTTTTCGGTCGCCTTGCGAAGAGCGTTGACTTTCTGTTCTGCAGGGTTGTCGCCCCAAAATGTCTTCACAAAGTCGAAACATTCATTGGTGACCGTGCGGATGGCTTCTGTCCGCCCATGCAAGAAGAATTTGGTCATTGCTGGCTCGTAAGTGTTCTCGACGCGACCATACAGTCCGTAATAAGCGGCTTGAAATGCCATCTGCACAAAGGCATCCGGAGAGAAGCCCATCGAGGTGATAAAATTCTTGCCGTATCCTGTGAAGTCAAGAACCGCAAATTCATGCTGCTGGAGGAGATCGGCAAGATGAGACTCGGCAAACCGCAAGGCAATGCTCAACTCGGGAACCATGTCCCACTCGAGCTTTCGCGGTGTTGTGCTGACATTGCCAAAGCTCCGGGGGTCACGCTTTGAGGGATCAGGGCTGGCAGTTGCCCAGAGGGACGGGGCTTGACCGTTGATTGTCTTAGCGAAACGAAGGATCGTGTCCGTGTACACGTCGCTAGCGAAGCGCAGAACCGTGTGGCCGTCGACACCAGTGTGTTCGAAGTTGATACCAGCACTTCCGTTCTTGCACACAATGATTTGCAGTTTGTCGTACCACCGGTTGGTACAGGTACCAACCTGGACACCTCTGACGACCTCACTCGTACCACAGAGCATGTTGGCGCAAAGCTGCGACGTATTTTCCGGCTCCGTATCGTCCAGACAGAGAGCAAACAACGCTGTGTCGACAGTGTTCAAACACTCCGAGTTATTGGATCCCTCATCCTTGGTTAGGATATCTCTCAGACCCGACCATATCTTCCGATTCTCCGTGCTGAGAACACCAAGTGCACCCTTTGCGGCATCCTGTACTGGCGTTTGTTCGGCGTCGCCAATGATCACCTGCAGATTAACCGCAATATCCTTTTCGCTCATGATCAAGTCGTTATTATCGTCAAGAACATCAAACCAGTAGAACTGACCCCGGCACAGAACAACTATGTGTTTTGCGTGCGGGTCCTGGCTGATCATACACCCATTTTCCGTGGGTACACGCGCAGTTCCGAACAGTCGAGAGTATTGGTACATGCATAGTGGTGTTCCTCGGACCGTATCAGGTGGAAGCTCCTCCCGCCTGACAGCCCGAACAAAGGAGAGAGCAGATACGACGAGTGATGCCGCCCGAGTCACCTGATTGTTCCTGGCAGGCGTGGGATCATCTTCCAGCAAAAAGAAGGGGTTAAGATTCAAGACAACAGCTGTGACCAGGTCAGTTCAGCGATCGACTGCTGTAAGAAGAATGAAAAAGTTCTTACGATTGTCATAGTTCAAGTAAGAGTCGTACCCTATGTGGCTGTATGTTAGTGCACTTGTATGCGACGTGGTTCAGCGAATACATACAGAATTGTTCAATGTAACTCGTTTTGGACGAGGCATAATTTTTTAACTTCTCCTGGAGTATAGGACCATCTGTCTTGAGGAATTCCTGAACAGCAGCCTTCGTTTCTTGCTGCTCTCGTGGGGTTTGCAAAGCTGATAGTGCTTCGAGGTATTTCTTGCATGTGCTCTCAAGGTCAGGAATAGGCAGCTTTGGCAAGGAATCCTGGTTGGCAAATGTCAAGCCCTTTTTCTCACAGGAATGAGCCTGAGCTGGTCCACCATTCACCGATGTTGGATTGGAGGGATTAACCCTAGCATCGACGTTTGGTTGAGACCGGGGGTGTTCCATGGCGCCTCCCAGTGGCTTTGGAGCCGTGAAGTAACGGACTGCMATGGACGAGTAAGACATATCGTCAGCTGAGAACAAAAATCACTCCTCGAGGGGGAAAACACTAAGCGTAACGGCAGGCGATGAAAGTCGGAATTGACAGAAGACGTAAGGCGCTGCGGTAGAAGTAGTGACAATCTTGCAGGCAATAAGATGGCATGGATAATCGCGTACCCGTACTGAGACTCTCGTAGTTCAAAATACACAAAACAAAATGATAAAATATAAGGGGGAAAGTCTACACTGTTATATGTGTAGAAGAGTATAGAACAAAGCCCAGTGTATACGGGCCCCACGGGGGACGGAAGGCCGAAGGATGTGGAGCATGTGCTGGGGTCTCGGGACGAAAGGAAAAATAGCGTGAGGCAGCGGGAAAAGGGACGCTTACAGTAAATCAATCAGAGGGATAGCCTGCAGCGGTTGCATCGACCACAATGGACCGCTCGTACCGGCGTGCGCGTCCGAGGAGTTTGATGGTCGTATGCGTCGGGGGAACGGAGATGCTTGATGGCTGGTTAGCGTACGATGGCCAGGTAGCTTGGGTTGCCAAGAGATGCAGGTTCAGAAAGCACATGAAGCAGACACCCCACAAAAGAAAAAATAGAGGATGAGTAAAAGGTTTCCTAGAATCAGTCTGAAAGCATTCGAATGATTGTGAAGAACGAACTGCTAACTGACATTCCTCGAGTACTTGAGATGACAATGGCGGGGTGCTCGAGGATTGACCGTGTGACGTCTGCAGGATAAGACATTAATCAGAGGACGTAGTACCTACCCAACTATAGAATCCCGGATGTGCAACACGAGGCAATTCAATAATCCAAGGCGATTATCAAGATGCCGTGTAAGAGCTTATCCGGAGACACCCTGTCGAGAGATGATAGTGAAGTCTGCACTGCAGTGATACAGCAGAAATAGATATCGACCACTGGTGCTGACGAGGAGCAAGGGCCAGTAGCGAGTCTAGTCGATAATCTAGCTCACAGTAGTCAAGCGTTAGGCTTTAGATAGTTCGACCAGTTGGACGAACGGCTAGTCTCGCTCAGGGATCCGATGACGTTTCGGGCGAAGGGAGCGGTGACAAGATGCCTGTCCAGTCTCGCTATCCACGGTAGTATTCCATCGTTCCATGACTTGTGATTGCACAGCAAGTTTGGATGCGGGGAGCTCCTACCTTACTTTAATTGACAGGTCACGTGTTGCTTACTTCAGCGCAAGGTAACTATTGCAGGTTTCGTCAACTATTAACTACGTCCCGTTGAGCTGCAGTTTATAGCCGCTTACGAGGTTGACGGGCACGAAGACGACGCAGATTGCTGCAAGGTAGGGTGTTAATTGATGTTGTGAAAAACCACTTCGCTTCCAGTCATGTCGTACTCTAAGCAAGGCGCCATTTCATGAGATCATACTCCAGCAAACACCCAAAAATGACAAGCTCAATGATCAAGTTGCTGGCACTGATGTCCCAGGAAAAAGAATATTCCAACGGATAATATTCACAATCGAAATAGAGGCAAAGTCACGTTCATGTCCATGTCGCCCGGCTCATGGCCAGGAATGTGGGCACTCGCAGATCTCCCCAGCGAAGCAAGGAGGAGGAGCCTTGGCACAGTAGACAAAGCTGGATGTGACTAGCAACACGAAGGAAAAGTGAATGCAAGAAGGTCTGTTCAAAATGAAGAGAGATTTTGTACGAATGGCTGACAACTTCCAAAAAGTCATCCCCTTCCTCGATTGCAATTTGCGGTTAACTTTCCCCCCACACACGTAAATCGAACAGTATCCCATACATCAAACAACCACTTATGATCTTAGTTCCCTGGAGATGGTTCCATTTGAAGCTTAAACCCCCACGGGCCGGGTCAGAGTGACTGCTTTTGTTAAACGCTAATGGAGGAATTGAATGTCATGCAGGGTCTGGCAACTTTCATCACAGTCGAGGCTAGGAGATCCACGGAATTGGCAGTTTACGCCGAGTAGAAGGCGTGTCCAAGCGGAGCGAGGACGTTGTCACCATATTCACCCGCATAGTTGCCTATGTACATGTCAGAACCGACATACTCCAAGGGATAAAGATTGACGACGCTTACCGGGAGGGTAGTAGTTGCAGACAGTGAAGGGCGATGGCTGACTCGAGTCCACATTGCCGAGAGAATTGCAAACGACAGTAGCGCAGCCGACGGAGACCGAACCCTTCCAGACGATCTGGGAGAAATGGCCCCACTTCTCAAAGTAAGTCATGTCAGGGTTGGCCTGACCGTAAAGACCATCGTAGTAGCCGAATTCATCGTTGTACATCAGATTGGTGATCATAACCCCAATGTCGTCAGCTGAAACACCGTATCCGATATTCTGACCATAGCCACCACCGCCGATGTTACTAAATGGGGTTAGCAAAAAAGCGCAGTTGTTCATTGGGGCCTTTGCACTCACGTGTCGTGCTGATAGACACATCGGGAGGCAAGCTCATGGGCGCTGGACTCGAGGGTGGTGTTCCAGGTCATGGAGCTGACCGAGTGGTTGCTACGGTGGATGTTGTGGTTGTACAGGACGGCAGACTGATAAGCATTGGTGGTACTACCAGTAGGAGCACTAGCAGCGGGGGCAGTGGTAGAGGTCGAAGTAGCAAGGGTGGTGGGTTGCGCAGCCTCAGGAGCCGATGAGGTCCAAGCAGATGCCCAAGCAGATGTCCAAGCCGATGTCCAAGCCGTGGACCAGGCAGAAGCCCCAGGCAATTCCTCCACAATACCAACCGGAGCGGCACTGACAGTGGTAGAAGGGGTAGGGATAGGGGCGGCGGATGAAGACTCAGTCTCCACGGGAGCAGGGGCAGGAGCAGGGTCGACGCTAGCGACTGTCTGAGTGAGCTGGACAGCCTGGATGGGCGAGTAGGCCGGAGTTGAGGTTGAGGTTGAGGTTGAGGTCGGGGCAGGCTGGTAAGGGAGAGTGATGGTCTCGGTGACGGTGACGATAGTCCAATCAACCACGTAAGACCGCTTGTCGACAGGCTTGGCCAAAGCACCTGCAGCGCAGACAGCGCCGATCAACCACGAGTAACGCATGATTCCGGAGCTGGCTTTTCTAATTCCCGAAAGTATGGAGCGATATTCCAACAGATCAACTGTGTAACCAATTTACTTCTCCAGGAAGTAAATCGACGAGCGGATTGTGGAGAGAGAAGGAGTGCTTGTTAGTAGGCAGATCGACTGCGGACTGATTTGGAGAAAGACGCTGAAAAGATCGGCCCAGTATGTACTGTCTGGTAGACGGAGGTATAAACAAAGGAACGACAGCCGTGATGACACTTTTTCTAAAGGAGTGAAGAAAAAGAGTACGCCACAGGCGGAGGATGAAGAAGAAGAGTTGAGCGTTAAGGGTGAGGACCAAAAGAAGGCAGTGGGAGGGACGAGAGGGAAGAAAGTGGCTGATAATATAGGACGCCTTGGTAGTCCAGCTGTAGTGGCCAGCAGCTTCAGCTAGTGAATATTTAGTGAAGTGCGTCGTAAAGGGGAGACCGGGAAGAGAGGGTAGAAGCAAGAGTGAGAGAGCCTAGCGGGGCGACTCTATCCTCCTCAGTGGGGCCAAGAGATCTGGAATAATCAAAGACAAATTAAATGCGTGATTAGAGGCATTAGAGAGTCAAGACTAATATGGCTCGGAGCGGGGACTCCCAAGGATATAATAGCTTCAGGGGTGGATGGCGGTGGTACTTGATACAAGTGACCATCGCAGCCAGATCCAGAAACTCGATTGATTGTTTGATGTTTCTCTTTCTTTCTTTTGTCTTTTGTTTTTTCTTTCTCTCTAGAACAGCGAAATTACTGAAATAAATGCCGCCATACATGTTTACCCACGATCCGCATACCAAAGAGCGTTGGGCATTGGTCTGTCCCTTGGTAACCTAGCATTCCGCGGCCTCGATGAGTATTTGACAGCCACAACAGAACTTTCTTTGATCTCTCTAGTATTCTTGGATAGGACATTGGACCATGAGCTTGTCCTCTCATTATTCATTAATATTGTCATCTTTGTCGTAGACTGGCTCGTCATGCTCAAAGTGCTGAAATCAAGCAGACAGATGGAGCATTAATTTCCTGACGGTTGCGAGATATTAAACCCCCTGACCATGATTGCACTAAACCATTCTCAGACTGCACGATGCCGCCCGTTTCAGGCACCGCGAGCCCTGGACCAATAATCTCATTGAGTGAAAACCTTTGCGCTTCTGATCTCCGTTCAAAGTTGAACTTTATTATTATCACTTACCTCTCTGATACATGTTACAACTGTGTGTGACCTGCAGTTATGCTGATGATGATGACAACATTATTTGCAGACAAGCTACATTTGGTACTCAGGACTTCTGTAAGACATTTCGGCTCGCGTATCTCTGTAACAGGATAAGGTCTCAGGTCGTCTGACGCAAATCAGGTGAGGACCACCTCGACCAGTATCATGCTCTCCATAGCAAGAATACACGATTGAATTAAATTAACTCTTTGGCAAGATGTCGTGTAATTTCCACTTAATCTCAGTTCCGCCATGTCACTAATGACTCAAAATTAAACAGGATTCATTTTCCTCATTCCGGCCCAACCACTGCGCAGCGACGCAATATACTCCATACAGACGGCATCGGTACTCGCCAGGGGTTGACTGATCACTGACATCTGCGTAGTCAATAATGATCAACCATCAAAACTTGGCACTCTGACCGTCCCCCGTGGACGAAGCCACCGGCGCCACGCTAATGTTTCATCTTCTGGTCCCTCGGAGATTTGGCCCATTTTCCATTACGATATAGAGAGGTACTAGACTAATTACTGAGGCTATCAGGCTACATCACTGATCAATTTTCGACAGAGGATGTTCACTACCCCATAGTCAAGTAATTAATATTCGACGGAAGCAAAGTCCAGAACATTTTGCCATGTTCTTTTCTGCGCTTTGCGGGTCTGGATTGCTGTCATGGCTCGTGACTCGTGTGCACGTCGCATCGTCTGCCTAGGCTGATGGCTTTTCCTAGCCGAGACATGGCGGTAGCAGATGCGAGGCTAGCCATGATCAGGATCCTTTGACTTTACACATTGACATTGACAGCCCACAGATCTGATAACCCCGTTGTACCTTCTGAGTCCTCTGGCAGCTCCCGGTTCCGCGCCTCCGCGTCATTGCCACTGAAATGAGACTGCAGGCGTTAGGTGACATCCCATGTAGCGGCTGCCCCTTGTCCTTTACCGAGTAGTTAATATATTTTGAGATTAAGAAAATCAAACGGACTTGAAAGGCTTACACATGTTTAAAGAGTCCTGAAGTCTTTCGCCGAGGACGACATATGTCTAGGTCCACGCAAAGTTCAAGCCCGATACCATGCCATATTACAATTCACAAAAGCTTAGATAAACAACTATAGGGACGCGTAGATGTAGCAAAAATCTATCATAGGGCGACAGCAATTGTCATTTCCGAGACTTTCATCTACAACAATAGTGTCCAGATTTGCATCCATGAAGGTGATTCATTCTTTTCAAGGAACTTGCATCTACAAGGACCTGCACTCTCAATGATTACGTACGCGCAAGCTTGCGGTGAGCTCATCCCGCACCCAGCATCTGACACGAAATACCACATCCCTGTCCGCGGCGTTTGAAAAGCGATCCGATTGCGATTCCGTCGGGCCAACTAGCTACCTGCAGGGTCGTGGTACGATGCCCTTGACCATGCGCCTGGACCACGACAAAAGCCCTTCGTTTCAGAATGAGCGCTTGCCGAGCAGCTAATATGATACATCTCTTAGCTGTAACTGTCGATCCCTAGTTGTCGGGTCCAGATTCAATTGGTCAAGACGATCTTCCATCTCTTGTTGGAGGTGGAGGATACTCCAATAGCATAGTACTCGGCGTATAAAGCTAAGATATTTTAGATTGAGTGTTGCTGTAACTTCTAGCAAGCCACGGAGTATGGCCCGCATAGAGTACATTTATCCCTTATTCAAAGTCCAAACAAATCAGGAAATCCTTGGAAACACCAAGCAGACCAAGAAAAGCAAAATCCAAAAAAAGCTATCTGCACTTTTAGACGTCAACCATTCTGCATCTGCCGCTCTCGCAGATCATCAGATAATTCTTCGCCGGCTCTGACGGCTTGAGCTCTTTGAATAGTGGGTTTCGAGTCCTGAGCCAGAAAGATTGGTTGCCAACAAAGTCACCAAGATGGGATGGCCTGATGTCGACTAGTGATGTTACCGTAGCCGATGTGACCATCGTCGACCCAGCCTCGCTACGGATCTTTTTGACAATCATATCCCGGACCGACACGGGCTCATCTGGCTTGTTGATAAGCCTACCAGACCCTTCTGAAGTAACGCTGTGAGGAAGTTTTGCAGTACAGAAGACACCCGTTACGCTCCGCGTTGTCGTCTGGAGTCCGACAATGACATCAAGAAGGCCAACAAACAGGAAAGGATGCTGCAGGATCTCCACGGAGAAGGAGTGGCATGTCTGGCGGGCCAGTGTACGGTACTCTTCATCCTCTAACAGTGCCGAGAGACGGAGCAGGTTACGAGCGATAACCCCATTGACGGATGGTGTGGCTGACTCGGTTCCAGTTTTCAGACGAAGAAGAGGACCCGGCATGCCCGGTGTCATGGTGGAAGGTGTGCTGTAGTAACCCGCTGGCGTCGAGCCTACGTAGGCAAGGAAGTTATCGTTGAGATATTCTGCTTGCGTCAGTATAGTTCAAACCAAATGAGCCGCGATCATGGAACATACTCTGCAGCTGCTCCGCGAGTTGTAGATAACTGTCGTCGTAAGTAGCTTCATACATATCCAACAGACCGTGGATGAGATATGCGTAGTCGTCTGCAAAGCCAGGGGTTTCTCCCCTGCTACCATCGCGATAGATACGCCAGAGCTGGCCCGTCGCCTTCTCAAACAAGTTCTCCTTGATGAAGTTGATCGCTCGTGCTGCTGCCTCGCGGCACTGCACAGCTTTTGAGCTTTCGATCTCTTCGAACAAGGAACTGCATTTGGCGAGCGCGCCGATGGCAAGCCCGTTCCAAGCCACAATAACCTTGTCATCCAAATCAGGACGCACCCGGGTCGTCTCACGGTATTCACGTAGTTTCTGTTTTGCTGACTTGATGATCTTCACGACCTCCTCCTCGCTCAACCCAAATTCTCTTGCGAGCTTGCTCGGAGTGACCTTGATGGAAAGCACGTTTTGATTCATGAATTCATCGTGCGGATCGTGTTCGGGGGCAACGTTACCATCAGGAAGCACACCCCAATGTCGAGCACAAACACCAGCATCTCGTTGGCCGAGAACTTGCGTGAGTTCCTTCAAAGTCCAGACATAAAAGGCACCTTCGCGCTTTTCCGTGTCGTTAGGCGTTGGCAGACTATCTGCGTCCTCAGATGAGTGAAAAGCACCCACAGGCGACTGAATTGGGGCGGTGGTGAGATATGTGGCAAGGTCATATACAGCACCCAAGAGTTCAGGATTATGTGTGATTTTGAACGCGTCGACGTATACATCGAGAAGCTGAGCTTGGTCGTAAAGCATCTTTTCAAAATGGGGTAGACTCCAATCCGAGGTCACGCTGTATCGCGCGAAACCATGGCCGATGTGATCCCTGATTCCTCCGCGCGCCATACTAATGAGAGTGCTCACTGCCATGGCAGCTGCCTTGTCACACTCCTCTTGTCCTACAATATCCGACACGGCGCTTGGGTATGTCTTCAGGCGCAGGAGGAAGCTTAAGTTGGCAGGCGTGGGAAATTTGGGCGCCCGCGAAAAGCCTCCGTTTACAGTGTCATATCGCGAGGCGAAATGCTGATATGCCTCCTCCAGAAGCTCGATGTCCAGATCCTCATCCGCCTGCCGATCGCCTTGTTGGGAATGTGTTCCTTCCTCGGCGAACTCCCTCAGCTGTCGCGTGATCTCTTTAGCACTATCGAGGCATCGTTGCTGCTGAGTCTTCCACACATCTCGCAGTTTCTCCAGGATATCCACAAATCCAACTGTGTCCTGTCTGGAGAGTGTTGATGAGTTCGGGCCAGGCCAATAGGTGCCACCAAATACAGGCTCAAGATTTGGCGTCAGAAATACACTCAAAGGCCAGCCACCAGAGCCGGTCGTAGCTTGGACGTAATTCATATAAACGTCGTCGATATCAGGTCTCTCTTCTCTGTCGACTTTGATCGGAATGAAGGATTCGTTCAGCAACGACGCTACTTCTTGCGACATGAACGATTCCTTTTCCATGACATGGCACCCTGGATCACATTATTTCTTAGCATTACCACCTCTACAACGCCCATACAAGGGGAAACGAACAGTGACACGCTGAATAACCGATGCTCAAAAAGATGAGTCGGTTATACCGTCTGGCTAATGCGATGGCCTCTGCGTCCCATAATTGCCAAGCGACCGGATTGTTCATGTGAGCTCTGACCTAATGAAGAGATTAGAATCGGCAACTTGAATTGTTTGCAATGTGGTGAGTCTCACGTAAGGCGACCTGCTGTCCCGCAGCCTATTGACAAGCTTCGGCTCATGGTCCGCACTGCCCAGGTGTGTCTGAGGATGCATGGCTGCTGTTGTCGCCATCTTGCATAATCTGGAGGCGATTGTGTAGCGAGCTGTCGTCAACAAGTTGGATATTTGTCGTACAAGAATACGACGAAGGGAGGGGCTGTCCACTGATAAGATACGGCGACGAATCGGCTCAAGCCACTGGTCAGACTATCGGAGAACTGACAAAGCGACAAGGATTCGTTGGACTGCAAAAACTACACGAAGGTAGCAATCAGAATGTACCTCTAGTGAATAAGAGTTGGCCTCTAGGGGAGGAGAGTATGTGCTACGGGCGTTAGTCTGTCCCGCATCCGGGAGATCATCGCCGGAGTGCGTCATTTATGCATCAAGCTATCACGTGACATCCCGGCACTCGATGTCGATCGACGGAGTTGATTACTGTCGCTAGCAAGTAGATTGGGAATAATAAGTAGATAGCTGGCATTATGTACTTTAACGTGACCCTTTCAATGACGCTTTGGGTATATGACAACGATATTTATTGCCCCCAACACTGTTAATCCTCATTCATCAGCTCCGCCAATTCCCGCTCTTCTTCCTCGGTTAGCATCGATTCGGGGTTTTGCTCCGGTTCCTCCTCCTCAGCCTTGGCTTTCTTGGCCTTTTCCACTGCCGTTCGTAAGTCGTCAGGTCGCAAGGACCATTGGCGAATAGTAGCATCAATGCTGACGCTCACGACGGTAGACCCTACGAGGACCAGCCCCGTAACCTCTTCAAAGTGTCCGGAAAATGTATGATACAGTTGACCTGTCTGTGAATCATAGAGAGGTTAGTGATAGAAGACAGGTCGCTCTTCAATGCAATAGACATCGACTGACCGAGCGATTCCATAATCGAACTTCCTCGTCCCGGCATGCGGTAATGACCCAACCGCCTTGCTCGTAGACTACAACATCCCGAACAAAATCGGGATGACTCAGCGTCAGGTTCGCTTTCCAACCATCCTCCCTGACGAGACACTTGGTTGTCTTATCGGCCGAAGCCGTCCATAGATCTCCGTCGCTGTCGAAGAACAACTTGTAGACGCTTGTGTCATGCGCCAAAAGAGGATCCATGGCGGTGAGATCTTGAGTACCGGAGGTAATGTCAAACCAACGAATTTCTCGATCACTGCCAGCACTAAATACAACAAGCGACTTGCTCTCCGGGTCGAGGGAAGCCGGATCCATAGTCAAGTCCTGGACACCCTTGGCGTGGCCCTTGAGCGTATGGAGTCGCTTTCCGCTGGCGATGTCGAAAACTAAGATTTGCGCATCGGCGCCTCCTGAAATCAGAAGATCTTGCCCACGTAGGCTTGAGCTGATGACCGATCTTACGAAGTCGGTGTGGCCTTCATATCGGTGTTGTGTCTGACCTGAGGCCACATCCCAGCTCCAAATGGTCTTATCCCAGCAACCGGCAAACAACAGCTTGCCATCGGGACTAAAGCAGATGCTTGTCACTGGGGCAGTCGGGCCCTTGAAAACGGCAGCAGTCTCACCTGTCTGCAACAATAGCAAGGGAAGTGAAAGATTGATTTAGTTACGAGCACCAGTGTGGCATCCAGCGAAAAGGATACCATGCACCTACTTCTAATATGATCTTCCGGACAATCCCAGTACTCTGCGCAACAAACACAGCACCTGGGTTCACAGGATCTGCTGCAATAGCCAATATCTTACTCTGCAACTTGATGGGGCTCCCGTTTGTGTTCCGGGATTTAGCGTCTTTTCGCTTCTGCTCTTCCAAGGCAGCCCTGCAAAATTAGGAGGCACAAATTAGTTAGTGAGAGGGAGCAACACAGAGCAACCCGGTAGTAATCATCACGAACGAGGTTTGAAAGAAGTCATCCCGATGCGTAGAATGCGACATGATGGATATAAATGGTAGCCAGATATTAAAATTTATTCAACGAATTATAAGTATTTTCTCGTCCAGTGTAGCCGAAGGTAACATTGGCGGTGGGACTGGAACCTGAGAATACAGCAGAAAGGAGCAAAAGAGACGAGGACCTGCTCACTAAGCTCCTATGGTTCGCCGTAGTTCAGAGCTTTCCCACCACAAAAACACGGTAGCCGGTCTCAACCCTCTTCCCTTCTCCTCTCTTTTCTCTCGCTTCGCTCGCTTACTTTCCGTCTCTTTCTCGCAGCTATAAATTCTGATCGAATTTCTTCTCTTTTCCTCTCTCCTCTTCCCTCTCTTCCCTCCGTCTCCTTTTCTGGCGCGGTTGTCCGCGCAAACCCTGTCCAGCATGGATATGAACCATCTCATAGGGTCAGTCTTTTATGCCTACACTGGTCTGAACCGGGGTTTGTGCGGCTTGTAGACTGGAGTTAACACCTAGCAGTCAGCGTTTCAACCTGATCTCCAAGAGTGACATTCGGTATGATGACCCTCTATTTGAACCGACTCGCTTGCTTGGCCATTGACTAACTTGCTTATCCCTAGTTACGTTGGTACTTTACATGAGATCAACCCTGAGGCCTCGACAATAGCCCTTGAAAATGTCGTCTCTTTTGGCACAGAAGGCAGACGAGGAAATCCGGCTGAGGAGATTCCTCCGTCTGCCAGTGTCTATGAATACATTGTCTTCCGTGGGAGTGATGTAAAGGACATTAGCGTAGCCGAGGAGAAGAAGGAAAATGCTCAGCCTGAACCTCCTCAGGTGCCCGACGACCCTGCTATCCTAGGGGTAAGTTCAACCGGACCTTGATTTGATTTCTTTCCCCTTCCCTTTATACCATGGGACCCCATGCGTGCAAGTCGCTCGACTTGACACGGTCGGGTTGGTTGATCAGGTGATGAAATATTTCGGATGTAAACTCACAGACCTGTTCTGAATGCGCAAAACCGTGTAGAGATTTCCGTTGCCTTCCTTCTGATGATCAACAAAAACCATGCAATTTGTTCTTTCTTTGTTACAGACATGACTGTTGCAGCTTGGGCAATTTGCTGACTTGAATGAAACAGAGCATGTCTCGCCCAGGACCCGCCCCTCAAGGACCTTCTCAATCTCAACCACCACAGCAGTCTCAGGTTCCTCGTCCCAACCCACCCCCTGGATATCCTCAGCAGCCACAATTCCCAGGTTTCTACCCACCATATGGACAACGCTTCGGCGCTCCTGGCTTCCCACCTGGACCTGGATTTCCGAACATGCCGTATGGTGCTCCACCGGGATGGTACCCTCCTCCTGGTCAGGGATTCCCTCCGGGACCAGGACAATTTCCTCCTCAGATGCCTATTACTGCCCCTGGACCACACCAAACTCCCCCTCCCCAGAATCGAGCTGGAGCTCCGGGCGCGGGTCCTGTAAATGTACCCAAGCCCACTTCGGAGCTTCCGGTTGGTGACCGGCAGACGAGTAAGCCCACTAGCCGGAATGCCACACCTGCCCCTGCTCCATCTGCACAGAATCCTCCTCCACCCCCCGTCGAGTCTAAGCCTTCCGTAACAGAAGCCGTAAAGGCCTCTACTTCTCAAAGTGCGCAAGCAGCTGCTCTTGGAGCTGGTCCTGGAACACCATCCAAGGTACCTCCCACTGGGCCTAAGGGCGGTCGTGTTCAGCCAGCGATTCCTGTCACCAACCTACCTAAGCCGCCTATTCCGGCTGTAGCCAATCCTCCTCTTGCTAGTGTTCCAGGAAATAATGTGTCACAAGGACCTGCGTTGTCCGCTATCACGGAGGCTACTCGTGCTGCAACTGCTGCGGTTGCTGCCGCCATGGCCAAGCTGCCACAGCCTACTGCTCAGAAACCATCCGCGCAGGATGCAGTTGTTGACGCGGTGACCAAGCAGATCGGTGAATTGAAGACTCACGAAGGCGGCCGTCCTCCACGCGGTGGACATCGCGGTGGACGTAGTGGTCATCGCGGTCATTACCAGGGACCAGCCAAGAAAGTTGAAGTCCCCGACACTGACTATGATTTTGAAAGTGCCAATGCCAAGTTCAACAAGCAGGATCTGGTCAAGGAGGCCATTGCCACCGGCTCTCCTGTGCACGAGGCCGAACCACACGTCGAGAACGGCGAGGTCGAAGCTGTTGATACCACCCATCATGCCCCGTCCACCAATGTGTCTGCTTACAACAGGTCTGCCTCATTCTTCGACAACATCTCCAGCGAGGCTCGTGACCGCGAGGAACGCAGCGGAGGTCGACCTGGTGGTCGTGAGTGGCGCGGCGAAGAAGAGAAGCGGAACATTGAGACCTTCGGCCAGGGTAGCGTTGATGGCTATCGCGGTCATTACAGGGGCCGTGGCAGAGGCAGAGGCTACGGTGGCCGGGGTCGTGGTGGTTATGGCCGTGGCTACAACACTCGAGGCCGCGGTAACTATCGGGGACGCAGCAACTCACAGTCTACCGGCGTGCCAGCACCGATCTAGTCACCGTCTCATTCTTTTGAGATTCCTTGATGCAGTTCGATTAGCGATTTTACTCACCGACTTCTGTTGTTTTTGATGAATCTCGGCGTCTGGATGGTCGCATCCTACGAAATACTCGATATCAATCAAGCTCTAATGTTGCGATTGGGATTAGTACGAATCACGGCGGGCTTGGTGAGCGTTGTACTGTTTTGATATGGTTTCTGTTCACGGCGTTTATCTATTTTTACCACTTGCATGGCCTTGGTGACCGCACAGACGGTGATGATGAACAGTTTATTTTCCCCTTTACGTGTCAGGACATGTAGCCTGCTCTCGTCCTGGATCTGGCTGATGTGATCATGCCCTGCCTATTGAAGGCTTATCTCTCACGTGGCTGTCGACAGCAGACACACCTGACTTATGTACCATATTCGAGAAGATATCATCCTGAATGAAAATCAAAAAAAGGGCCGTCGAGCCTACCCCACTATGCCTTGTCCTACAGCTTGTAATATCCATTTACTCACTCAGATAGGTCGTCCATGACTGAGGGGTCGGCCGAAGATACAGTACTTATCCTCGGCTCAGGACGTGCGGAGATCCGCCACATTTACCTGTTGTTTGCAGATCCACTTTCAGCATCTGGATGCTGAACCTTGAAGACACGC